ATCCCATCTGGTGAAGCCCCGTGTGTCTCATCACTGCAGGCCCAAACCTGACTGTCCAGTGGCCTCTGGAGGATGGCGGTCACCAGGCTGCCAAGGGGAACAGACAAAGGCATGAATCCTATTCCCACCTGGAGTGGCCCAGCACCAGTAACCAATTGCAGGAACAGGATGCATTTCTGCCAAAAGTCTTTGGGTTCCGAGATTGGTTTCTGAGTCTCTGGGATCAGGGCCATTAAGTAGTTCAATTAGGAATCAGAGAGGCCATGTCTCCAATTATATAGCTGAGCTGGAGGTGGTTTGTGCATGTGTCTCCCACATACCAAACTTTTGGCCGTTTACTTTCTTGGTAAACTTTGCCCCAAGTTTTTGGGGTCTGGCCAAAGGCACTGCAGCAATTTTGGGGTATCTGAAAGTAAGACAATGCCATCAGGCTGCTGATGCACTCACCTCACAGGTACAGATTGACCTGCTGGCGGCATGATAGCCCTCTACTATGACTTTTAAAATGCATAGTAAGGCTACAGGGTAGAGCGAAGACGTTCCCACATGTCAGACATTTATATGGTTTCTTTCCAGTGTGATTGTTTTCTGTGTTTAGTAAAACACCAAGCTTGAATGAAAGCCTTCCCACAGTTCTTATATATGTAGAGTCTGTCTCCACGACAAATTTTCCTATGATTATAAGGCTTGAGGGCATAATGTAGGACTTTCCGCATCATTTACACATGTAAGTTATATGTAATAAGGAGGAGTAACTGAATGGGTTCCCACAGTCCTAACAAATATAATGGATTCCCCGAATTCATCTCAAAGATGGTAAAAGTGATTCAATCCTAAGGTTCTCTGCCCCAAATCCCTGGGACAGGCACATGCCCAGAACTGCACACACAGCATCATCTGAACATGAGACTGTGTGACTGAGCAGGTGAGGCTCTCAGAGCAGGAAGGACAAAATAGGAGAAACACATGTCCTGGGGTCTGAGACATTTGTAACCATCAGGGTACATACATAAGTAGCACACCTGGATTCCCCTGATGCCTGTCAGAGGTGAATCTGGAGCACAGAGCCAAGAGGAAGCCCTGAGTATCTACAGTGAAGCACAAAAATAAACATGAAAGAAAACAAAGCAGCAGGATGGAGTAACAGAACAGTGGGTCTGGGACAGCATTAAGGGCTGGTAATAACGCCATCCCTTATAGTTCCTCAATAACTGGGAGATGGAAATCCTTCATACAGAATCAGAAATAACCCTAGAATCACTGGGTATGTCCCCTCCCCTTAAACATCTTCCAAAAACAAACAAACAAATAAGTCTAATCAGCGTTGGACCCCTGGCACCCTATACAGTTGGTACCCCAGTCTTGAAAGGAATGATCCTTGAGCACCACTAATAGCACAGCGGTAGGGTGTTTGCCTTGCACGCAGCCAACATGGCCGACTCGAGTTCGATTCCTCCGCCCCTCTCGGAGAGCCCGGCAAGCTACCGAGAGTATCTCGCCCGCACAGCAGAGCCTTGCAAGCCACCCGTTATGTATTCGATATGCCAAACACAGTAACAACAAAATCTCCAATGGAGACGTTACTGGGCCCACTCGAGCAAATCGGTGATCAACGTGAGGGCCTTTACTTTATTCAAATCAACAAAAAAATAAAACAGTGGCCTAAATCAGAGCTGATCAATCAGGTCAGGAGCCGGATCCCCAGGCTCCTTCCTAAAACAATCAGAGACGATCAGCCTGGGAAGCTTGTGCTACATGTCACTGCACTGCGTTGTCTTCTCACTCTCCTGCCTGAAGATGGTGAGGCAGAGGCCATCTCACCATTTCCTGCCTGTTTTTCCTGTGGACCAACAGGAGGCTCCATGCAAGTACCTGAGCCGTGGGCACCAGAGAGGAGCACAACCAGCCCCGGCCCCAACCTGACCAGAAGTCCCTGCATTGGAGCCAGAAAGGTAGTGACCAGCTGGATGTTTGGACACTGGCTCACAGAAACATCCATGGCGAGACACTAACAGATGTTCCTGTCTCTCAGGGGAGAGAGAAATGGTTTGTGACCCAGCTGCTGTCAGGACAGGAGTGGTTGAGGCCTACAGGGGAGGAAACCCCGGTGCTGCCCAAGCCCGGGATTCTACCTAGGGAACCACACAGGAAGGTCCTAAAGGCCAGAGACTAACTCTGAGGCCAGGAGCTCTCACGTAGCTGCAGCCCCTGCAGGCCCCAGTGACCACAGCGCCATTATTGGCTCTGCCGTGGGGCCAGTCACAGGGACTTGGGGTGGACAAAACTTCAGCTGCCCTCTTGCAGAGTGGATAGGACACGGGCCTGGGAGCTCTCTTTCAGGAACCAAGGTCACTTCTGGGCTTGAGTAGGCCCCAGGCAGTCCCAGCTCTGACTCTCTGGACCTGGACCCATCCTGGTCTTGATTTACTGTAATCCCCAATCAGCACATGAGCCTCATCCAGCACTTGCTCCTATTTTGCAGGAATAGCTCTGAAAACCATGTAAAAAGTGTGTTGTACCACAAAACTATCCAAATAACTAGGGTGTTTACTATGACCCATGATGTTATGTGTGTCTAACAACAGGAATTTCTAGAGTGAATCTACTTTGAAACCTTGAATATTATATCTTGGGGCCTGGAGTGGTAATACAGTGGATAAGACATTCAGCTTGCACTTGGCTGACCCAGGTTCAATATACTAGAATATATATGGGCCCCTGATCCTTGTAGGAAATGATCCTTGACTTCAGAGGCAGGAATAAGCCACAGACAATGAATGGTGATTACCAAAAATACTGCAACTTCAAAAGGTAACTATAATGAAACAAGAGAATAACAACAAAAAATACCCAAGTGTCAATTCTGAGGCATACACACCAGGTCGCCAGATGTGAAGAATAGTGAGTTGGTAGGTCACATGGCAACACGTTCAATGTTCTGTCTCTGCAAAGAAATACAGACACAGGGACCACAACAACTGATGGCCAATGGATAGTGCATAGTCAATCTTTAATTCAGAACCGAATAGCATACTTATAGAACATCCGAGGGGTTCTGAGGTACAGAACTTCACGTATTGTGATTTACCATTTACAGAGGTCAAGCGTTTCAACAGAGATAATTCTTTGCGGGGGAATTAACTCAAGGAGACGTTCTGCGGGAGACTTTGCTGAGAAATTCGCTCATGGGCTATATGCATCTGTGTTGCTTTTCTCCTTCCCTGCTCGTACATACTAAACAATTAAGTTTACTTATTAATATTTGAAATTATCAATACACACAGTAGAGAAACATCCCAAAACTTACTTCTCTGGGGTCCAGGAGCTAAGGTTAAAAGCTGGCTGGGATCCAGCTTTCTGGGGTTAGCGACTACAGCAACTGAAGCCTGAGTAAAGTAATTATGATTGATGGCCAGCAGTATATATATTTTAGAGTCAATTAACTCATAAATATTAAGAGCTTATCATGAATGGTTTTTCTGTTTTGAAGCAAAGAACATTGCTCTATAGTGATAGATTATAGATTATACAGGTTACAGCGGAAAGGGAAATGCAAATAAATGACTGCAGATACAAAGTCTAGAGTCACCAGAAGGTTTGACTTTATGATTTAAGGATAGATTAGGAGTGCTCATAAGAGCACTATAACCATCTTTGGGGGGAGCAAAAGTGGAAATTTACTGATCAAACCTAATACACGTAGGGTAAAGACAAATTCTAGAGTGAAACATTTAAAGTGGATGCTTAAGCCACTTTTTCTGTATTTTTCTTTTCTGCAGAAATTCATGTTTTCTCGTGAATACTACTCTTCTCTCTCAATGCTCTCATATTCTCTCTGTGTGTATGTGTCTGTGTGCATGCACATGTTTCAATTTGAGACCACAACTGGCAGTGCTCAGGGATTTGCAGCTCTGGGATCAGGGTTCAGTCCTAGTGGGGCTCAGGGACTATATGGATTACTAGACATAGAGAGACCTGGGTTGGCTGCTTGCAAGGAAAGTACCCTACTTGCTGTACTATTGCTCTGGCCCTTTCTAAGTGAATTATTTCCACCACATCAAGAGTGACCCTGAACAAAGATTCTCCAACAACACCCCCCGCCCCGAAAATCAACTATTTCTCTTAAAAAAGGAAAACAAAACTTTACCCCCAGTACTCACAATAGCTGGGGGTCATCTGGTCAGGGAGAAATTACATGTGTGGGGTGCTTTGCAACTGGACCTTAGGATGGAGAAATTCTTTACCTAGGGAAAAATACAAAAGCTGGGACCAGAGACAGTAAGTGGGTACGAACTTGCCTTGCATGAAGCCAACTGAAATCAATTCCCAGCATCCCTTATGGTACCCTTGTACCACGAGCAGGAATTCCCGACTGCAGAGCTGAAAGTAAACCCTGACCTCCACCAGATGTGGTACAAGAGCCAAACCAAAATGATAATAATGAAAAAGTTTCATTTGCAAACACCACCCACCTGCAAGGACTGAGACACTGGGTGGCCCCACCGCATTAGGACAGTCAAACAAAGGACAGAGGACGACTGGGTCCCCTGCTGCAGTGGGACGGGGGCCCCACCCTTCTAAGTGAACCTGAAGGTGCCACACTAAGGATGCCAGAGCCAAATGCTCCGGACAGGGCCAAGCAAAGTCCGGTGCTGGAGGTTCGGGAGGGCTAAGCCCCGCCCTCTGCAAATCCCGCAGCCACAGGCCCACTGGACTCTGACCCTTCCAGGAGCTGGAGGAGATCTTGGCCAAGGGGAACCCCAGGATCACTTGTTCACACCTGCGACCCCTGCGCCTGTCACAGCCCCCACTGCACCGCCCAAAGCCTCTGAGTCCCCTGAAAGCTTTCGCTTTACCTCATCTCAGGAACTGCCTGGACATCCTGAACAGAGGAAAACAAGCATGAAAGCACCCCCCAAGTTGGCGCAGCCCCACCACTCACAGTGCCAAGACACGGGGTGCTCACCTGAGGCCACTTGCGTTCTACCACAAAATTGGTCTCACAGTTTCCCCATCATGCCAGGCGCCAGTTTCTCCTCTACCCAGGAGACCAATGGCGGCCAGAGCCAGGCAACCACAACAAGAACAGAAAGGATTTCTGAAGGGCCCGTCTATGACATCATTTCTGCTTCTGCCAGGAGCCTTAAAGGGCCATGGTCCAGATGCAGAGACCCTCTGTGCCCACCCAGGTGAATTCGTGCTGCAAGGGGGATGGACTGAATAAAGGAGTGGAGAGGTAGCTGCTAAAGTGTTTGCTCATACAGTGGGGGTCTGGGGATAAGGGGAAGACCCCTGATCCTGCACTGGTCAGTCTTAACATTGAAACAATGCTCTCACACACAATCCATCAGGAAAAACACATGTGGGTTGATTCAAGGACAAACAGGCAGGTTGGTACAAAGCACCTGACATTGAGTTGCGCGAGGAAGTCATCAAGAAGGGGTGAAAGCAGTGGAAATGGCAGCCTTCTATGATCCTCAGATTCCTCCTTGGAGCACAAAAAATTCCCTAGAGACCCAGCCAGGGGCCTCAAGAGTTCCTGAGTACCAGTACCTCCTGCAGGCAGGTAGCAGTGCTGCCCCTGGGAACTACAGCCTGGAATGTTGCTCTGCCATGGGGAAAGTCACTGGGGCGTTAGGTAGACAAACTTTCAGCCACTCTCTTGCAGGGTGGACAAGGATATGCGCCTGTGTACTCTGTCCAGGGGAACAAGGTCACTTCTGGGTCCAGATAAGCCTGAGGCACAGCCATGCTCTGTCCTGCTGGACCTGGGCTCATCTGAGTCCTGATTTACTCTAATCCTGCATCAGCACATCTGCATGAATCTCATCCTATGCTCGCTCCTGTTGTGCAGGAATATATTTGAAAACGATGCAATCACCCAGGTTTATAGAAAATAAATCCATATATCCAAGACATTTATTTACTAAGGACCATAATATGAACTGTGCCTGTCATTTGGAACTTCTCAAGACTACTTATACTGTAAATATTCTATTTTGGGGGCGGAGTGGTCTTAATCTCAGCTGACCCAAGGACGATACTTGGCCACGCTGGTCCCTGGCTGCAGTGATCCCTGAGCTGAGTCAGAAGTAAGGGCAGAGCACTACAGGGAGTGGCCAAAACTACAGCAACAACAGGACAACTGTAAAGAAGCAAAACAAACAAACAAACAAAAATCATGTGCAAAGTTAAACTAGAGAGGAACATTTAAATAGTAAAAGAGTGGTTTCTTAAAACTCTTTTTTCTGGCAGTTCCATAGTTTCCCAGAATCCTTATTATTCTCTTTTTCTTGCAATCACGTTTTCCAGTGTATGCAAGTGTGTATGTGTGTGTGTGTGTGTTTCTTTGATCCAGAACAAGCATTGCTCAGGGGGTATTCCTAAGTGCACTCAGGGTTTCACTCTTGGAAGCTTTGGGGATCACTAGGATGCAGGTGACCGAACCCAAATTGACTGTGTGCAAGGCAAGTATTTGCTGTACTTTCGCTCTGACCTTTCCTACATAAATTTCTTCCAAAAGTACCAGGAGTCCTGTACAAAGTCCCCCCTCCCCCCACACAAATAAACAAGTATCTTCCTTCAAAAAAAGGGGGGGATTTAAAAATGACAACAAAAATCTTTACTCTCAGTATTTATCCCAATAGCCACGGGTCACCCGCTCAGGAAGAGATGAAGAGTGGAGGGTGCTTTGCAACTTGACATGAGGGAGATGACACTCGTGATCTGAAAAAAAAAAAACACCAATATTGTGGTTGGACAGACAATGAAGTCTGTAGGGCACTTGCCTTGAGTTCGTAAATTCTCCCCGTACCTATGTCTCGCAGCAACACCAGCAGGAATCATACCTGAGCCCAGAGCCAGAGGAAGCCCTGAGCATCTCTGGGGATGCCCCCTCCCCCCAACACCCCACAAAACAACCCCCAAACCAAAAAGAGCCCCAAGAGAACATGTTCACTGGCAAACCCAGCCACCTGCAGGTCCACTGCCCCCGAATGTCACAGACCAACACGGCGGCGATGAAAGTGATGTACAGCAAGGGGACCCTTGCCATCGGGGGGCAAAGGGGGCTTCGGCTCTGCCCTTCAAATCTGGAGGTTCTACAGCTACGAGATAAGGGCCAAAGGTTACAATATGGGACTGCCAGGAGGGTCGGGACAGCCAAGACCCCCGCCCTGTGCAGGTTCCGCACCCCTGTGCTCACCCTCAAGCTCAGCCCCGTCCCCCACCCGCCGCTGCCCCATCATGGAGATGGAGGCCATTATGGCCTCATCGGCCTACAGGGACCACACACTCACACCCGCAACACTGCGCCCCAGTACAGCCCCCACCGCGCCCCCCAAAGCTCCGCATCCCCCCTAAAGCCTCCGCCACAACTCAGGAACACCTAGAAGTCGAGGAATATGTGAGAAACCAGCGCAGAAGCGTCCCCCATGCTAACGCATTGCTCACAGTGCAGAGATGGAGAGTTGCCCCTCTCCTGCCCCAAAATCCGCCTTTAAGAACCGCTTCCAGCCAGTTCCAGGCCATCCTTCACCCAGGTAACAATAGTGAGACTGACTGAACCATCTCTGTCAGCAAGAGCACAGGCACCTGGAAGGCCCTGTCTGTGATGTCACTTCCGTTTCCACCCGCATCCTTAAAGGGCCAGCTCCAGGTGCAGAGAGATCCTTTCGGGACACCCAGGGGATCCTGTGCGGCCTAAGAAGGTTCGAATCCCATCATCCCATATGGTCCCCGAAGAACCGCTAGGAATAATTACTCAGTGCATAGCCAGAAGTACCCTCTGTGCATCGCCGGATGTGACCCAAAAGGCCAAAAAAAAAAAAAAGAATAGAATAAAATTTGAGATAACAAATTTGCAATATTAATATCAATAGGTGGAGAAAACAAATTCATGTGAACATTGTTATATCTGGTTTTAGGGATTGTCTCATTAATTTTTAAAAGCTTTTGTTGCTTCAAGAGCTTTTTCCTTTTATATTTGGTACTTATTTAGTCACATTCCTCCTGGATTCCATAACCAAGACTGTTATTTACAAGTTAACACACTGTGAAGTTTAAATGCCGGGACACTGGCATAACTATAGCCCTGGTGATATTCACCGGGTACCTTTCCCTTATAGGATAATGTCACGGGAAGCTTGTCATGCTGGATTCTTAGCTTCTGGGCTGCACTTTTGTAGCCCCCTCCTAACCCTCCTGGTCTAAATAAAACTCGCCTTCCCTAGGGGGATTGTTCTAAACTTGGGGACAGTTCTTTGGGGTCAACTCATCCCATGTGCATTTTACAAAGACTACAAAGGCTAGAGAGGCACACAAAGGCCTTCCTACATTTACAAACATGATTTTTCCCTCCAGTTTGTTTTTTCCTATGGATCTTAAGAGTTGAGGGTTGAGTGAAGGCCTTCGCACATTCCTGACATATGTCAGACTTCTCTCCACTATGAATTTTCCTATGCATACTAAGGCTTGAATGTAGAGCAAAAGTCTTTTTAACATGTATGGGGTTTCTCTCTGGTATGAAATTTTCTGTTTAGTAAGACATCAATTTTGAATGAAGGCCTTCCCACAGACCTTCCATATGTAAGCTGTCTGCCATATGAATTTTTCTGTGATCAATAAGGCTTGAGGACATAATGTAGGCCTTCCTGCTTGCTTACATACATAATGTTTCTTTCCAGTATGAATGTTCTTATATGTAATAAGGAGTGAGAGGTAAGTGAATGCCTTCCAACAGTCTATATATATATATATATATATATAAAATGATTCTTTTCAGTGTGCATTTTCCTGTGCTTAGTAAGTTCTGAGTACAAAGTAAAGGTCTTCCCACAGTCCTTACATGAGTAAGGTTTCTCTTCTGCATGAATTTTCTATGCACAGAAACCCCTGAGAAGGAAATAAAGGTCTTCAAACATTCCTTATCCTTACATGAATAAGATTTCTCTAAATGAATTTTCCTATGGTTACTAAGTCTTGAGGTCTTCTCATATTCCTTGGATGAATAGCGTTTTCTCTTCTGTATGAATTCTCCTATGTATAATCAGGTATGAGGATCGATCTAAGCCTTCCCACATTTTTTACATGTTTACAATTTCTCTCCTGTGTGGATATTCAGGTGATGACACTTGTGTGGAGGCTGACTCAAATTGTGTCCATGCTGCTAACAGCCCTGGGATTTTTCCAATCTGAAGAATTCCTGCCTGTCTCAGAATCCCCACAGTGATGCATGCACTACTGCTCACTCAAGACTGTCACGGTGCACAGGATCAGAGACATTCCGCTGAGGCTGGTTGCTTCCCTAGAGAACAGCAGAGGAGGTTTACAATTATTTCTTGATTTCTTGAGGGTCTCCATGTCAAAAAAAGTCAAACCCTGCAGGTTTAATGTCTAACATTTCCACCATGGAAATACAATTATTGACACATATATGGCTTTTCCTGGAATGACCAAATAGTTTTGCAAGAAGTTCATGCAAAATTGACAGAAGTGTTGTTATTAACATGTGTCCATTTTTTTCTCAACTCAACGAAGAACACATTAAGTGGAAATTATTTCTATACAGAAAAAGGAAGCACCAGTTTCAAGCAAAAAAATACACCCAAGTCTGGGTTCGGTTGTAGCTCAGTACAGAGCTCGGGATGCAAGGCTGCGTCCCCACAAAGCTGAGAATGCAGGGGCCATTGAAATTATCTAACCTAATTGAATCAATGTCAGGATCAATGAGGAATTGGGTTTTTTTATGTTTATATGTTGGGACTCTGTCACATGAAACAGTGCTCATAGTGCATTGCAACTGGCACTTAGGAAGCAGAAATTCTTTTTTTTTAATTTTTTAAATTTTTAAATTTTTTTATAATTTATTTATTTATTGAATCACTGTGGGAAAAGTTACAGAGCTTTCAGGTTTAGGTTTCAGTCATGTAAATATCAAACATATTTCCCTTTACCAATACTTATTTTTACCCGCAAACCCAAATAGAACCCCACCTCCCAACCCTCCCAATTCCTGTGAGGCAGATGAGTTCTAGTTAACACTCTATCTACTATATTTATTGTTAAAATAAAAGATGCACCATTATTATTTAGAGTTTACAACCCCCCACAAATCAGACATGCTGAAAAAGCATTGTGAAATGATTTGATTTCTACAGCTGGGTTTAAGAATTAAATGATGTCATGCGGCCACAATAGTGGCCGCGCGGTTTTGGATTTCTGCTATTTTACTTATTAACCTTGGAAGTATTTCTATTAAAAGTTAGATAGTTAAGAGATTGGTTTCTGTGCTCTGGATTCATGGCCGTGCCGGAGAGCCTCTCGTGGGGGGCAACTGGTGACCTCGGTTGGGCGTGAAGGACGGACCGGAACGCCCCCTTCCCATGAGGTCCCTGCCGCCCCCACCCCCGGCTCAAACCTGCTGTCCACAAGGCTCCCGTGCGGCCGCCATCTTTCTTTCCAGAGGTCAGGGCGAATGGGGCAACACCCTTTCCCTTCTGGGCAGGCATGCTGGCCCGGTTTAACACATAGTCCATTCGCTTTTCTGCTCCATGCATTTGGCTTTCTGCACTAAGTCCTTGTGCTTCTGGGGACGTGGCCATGCCGGAGAGCCGGGAAGCAGAAATTCTTGACCTAGAAAATAAGACAAAAAAGTTGGGACGGGAGACAGTAAAGCGGGTAAGGGAATTTGCCTTGCACGTTGCCAACCCAGATCAATCCCTGGCATCCTATATGATCCCCGAGTACCATCAACAGTAATTCTCAACTGCAGAGCCAAAAGTAAACCATGAGCATCTCCAGATATGGTACACAAGCCAAACCAAAAAAATAATGAAGGGGCTGGAGGAAATGCAGAGACGGCACAGCATTTACTTTGCATGTGGCTGACCCAGATTTAATTCCCAGTATCCCATCTGCTCCCCTGAGCATCGCCAGGAGTAATTCCTGAGTGCAGAGACAGAAGTAACCCCTATACATCGCTGAGTGTGATCTAAAACGAAAAAAAATAAATAAAGTCGGCTGGAGCGATAGCACAGCGGTCGGGCATTTGCCTTGCATGCAGCCAACATGTTGAACCTGAGTTCTATTCCTCTGCCCCTCTAGGAGAGCCTGGCAAGCTACCAAGAGTATCTCGCCCGCACGGTAGAGCCTAGCAAGTTACATGTTATGTATTCGATATGCCAAACACAGTAACAACAAAGTCTCCAATGAAGTCATTACTGGTCCCGCTCGAGCAAATCAATGAACAACGGGAGAACAGCAAAGAAAGAAAGAAAGAAAGAAAGAAAGAAAGAAAGAAAGAAAGAGAGAGAGAAAAGAAAAGAAAAAGTTTCAACTTCCAAAACCTCACCCATTCACAGGGAATGAGCCACTAGGTGGCCGTTTCACACCACAACAGCCAATCAAAGCTCAGAGGAGAAATGGGTTTCCTGCTGCAAGGGGGGGGGGGGGATAGGGCTGCCCTTTGAAGTGAATCTGAAGTGAAGCCAGGGCAAAAGTCTCTGGAAAGAGGCAAGCTCATCCCAGTGCTGGCAGGTTTGAGAGGGCTAAGACCCGCCCTGTGCAGGTCCCTCAGCCCAGCACCCACCCACCTCTGAGCCCTTCCAGAGCGGGAGGTGATCCAATGATCATTTGCTTACACGTGCGAACCCTGCACCACGGAACAGCCCCCGCTCCACTGCCCAAAGCCTCTGGTCCCCCTAAAGCCTTTGACATACCTCAGGAACTGCCTGGATGTCAGGAACGAGTGAAAAACAAGGGAGAAAGCGCCCCCAAGCTGGCCCAGCTCTGCCACTCACAGTGCCGGTGACTGGGAGGCCGCTAGTATCCTGCCACAAAATCGGCCTCCACAGTCCCCATCAAAGGAGCCGCCAATTCTTCCTCTAACCACGAGACCAATGGCAGCCTGAGCCAGGCAACCACAACTAGAAAAGAAAGGATGCTGAAACTACCAGTTCTGTGATGTCACTTCCGCACCTGCCAGGATCCTTAAAGGGCCATTGTCTAGATGCAGATACCCTCTGTCCCCATCCAGGTAAATTAGTGCTTTAAGGGGGCTGGACTGGATATAGTAGTGGAGAGGCAGCTGCTGGAGTGGTGGGTCACACAGTGGGGAGCTGGGGTAAGGACAAGAGCCCTGATCCTGTACCAGTTAGTCAAACATTGAAACAATGCTCTCACAAATAGTCCATCAGGAAAAAAAATATGTGGGTTGATTCAAGGTCAAACAGGCAGGTTGGTACAAGGCACCTGACACTGAGTTTAGTGAGAAAGTAAA